AAGATAGGTTTTGGGGTGAGTGGGTTATTGCTTAATTGGACATAATCCAAAATAACTTGACGGGAAAGGTTTTTGGCCTCCCCGGGGCATCCCTTCTGCTTATCTAATTCTCTGGTCTTTGGGGAACATTTAGTTCTTGGAATAGAGAAAACCTCTGACAAAGGCTTCTTGAAAAGAATGCTAATAAATATCTGATTGTAGTACACTCATCTATCTATATTTTCTTCCCGATACCATTACAGGTAATCTTCAATTTATAAAAGTTCATTTAGTGACTGTCTGAAGTTATAATGGCACTGAAAAAAGTGATTCATGACCACTTTTCACTTAGCTTAGAATGAAATCAGGGCCAAACTACTAACAATAGGTGAGCTCAAGGGCTTGGACCTCAAATGACTGAATTAGGTTATTTTAGATGTGTTTCAAAGCATTAGGATTCAGGATGCTATTTTTGCTTTGTTGTCATTTAAACTTAAAAAGAGTTTTTTTTAATGTATTTAATTGTAGCCCTGGTTTAATTTTAATCCAGTTCCCTTCTCTCTAACACTCTTTTTTTAATCATCTTATTTTATTTTGCTTTGTTGCATTTTATGCTCTGCCATGTTGCTCTGACCTAAGAATAAAAGCTTAAGAAAAGCCAATAAAGGGTTCAAGCTAAGAAGACACAAAGTTCTTTGTCCGTCTGAAGGCCCCAGTCAGCCAGGAAGCCTGAAAGGCAAGATTCATCCTGGACTGCCAAAAGGCAGAGATGCTGAGGCCAGCACAGCAGGAGTAACAGTAACTCAGGCACAGAGCTGAGGATCCCCCTGGCAGACTCTGGAATCAACATACTCGTCCCTGAATGAGCCTGTCCATGAGGCCTAAACTCTTGTCAGAATAAGGTCTATGAGATCAAGCTTTTATCAATGGTTTTCAAACAAGGAATTAAGGGCTGCCTTTTATAGAACACACTCTATGACATCAGAGAATCTCACCTGTGGAAAATGGCATGAATGCATCCCTTTTCACAAATTTTCCTTCAGAGTCAAGAAAATGCTCAGGATAGAAGTTGTGAGGTTTCTCCCACTGAGATTCATCATGGAGCACAGAACTCAGCAAGAGAATGATGTACGTGCCCTAAAAAAATTGAAAGGATAAAAGGATGATACGGAAAGGAGTATAGTATGTCCATTTAATGCATATCTGTAGAAATTAATACAGGGATATTATAAAGTGTTTATTGAGAAGTAAATATTGGACCTGGCGCAATATTCAATTTTAAAAAATATTAAAACTATATTTCCATCTCCATATTTTCCTGTGTTTGTTTTTAGATGCACCTTGGTTTTAAACATAAGTTTTTTTGCTTCTAATTTACATTGTTAATTAACTATCTGGTTGAACACTGATTTATTTTATACACCCCTTGCTGGACTATAAATGTGAACTCTTTTTACTGCTTTGCTGTGGAGTTATGAAACAATATGTCTTTTGCTGCATGGCAACCTATAGTGCAAAGGCTTTCTCCTTGATAATTTCACTACTGATTTGATTTGATTTATATTTGCATCAGATTTCTACAGCAAGGATTTTGTACGGTATTTTACTAGTTTTTAAAAGAACTGTTTCACTGTAGTTGTTTTTGGTATATATATATATATATTTGATCTTTTTTTCTTTTTCTTTCTAAAGAAATGGGGATTTTCCATTTTTTTTTCCTATTTACTCTCTATTGTGGGAAATATCTTTATTTTTTCTGTGGTCATTTTGTTATGGAACATCTATTTCTTTTGTCCTTGAGAGGAATTGCCTATGTTTTCTTGTCAAAGTGTGGCTATAAAAGAAATNTGTGTTATATTAAAAATGAAAACAATAAATCAAGGATTTTGAATATTATACTTTATATGATTTTTACAATGCCCACAAAAAGAGACACAAAAGAAAGGCAAGAACCAGATTAACTTAATATCAAATCCTTCTTGGAACCTTTAAAAAAATGCTGTTCAATTTACAAGCACTGAATGAAAATTTAGATGAAAGGTCTGGTAATTTAAGAACAGTCATAAACCAACCTACTGTAAGGATGATACTCAGGTACAGATAACAGCAGGTAAATCCGACTTGCAATTGGGTGGATTGGAAGTCAATTTGTTGCTGACAGAATTGAAAGAGAAGGAGCTTTGTTTGAGAATTTCAGGAAGGCTGAAAAGGGCATGAATTTAAAAGGCTGACAAATGGCAGTATGGATCAGCAATGAACTGGAATTTATTAAGAAAACTGATAGAGATTGTAGATTAGATGTATTATATTAAATCGGGGCATAACTATTAAGAGATGTAGTGGTTCAACTTGTACAAAAATCTTCTGAACAGCAAACGCTGTAGGGATATTTACAACAGAGATCTATGACTTTGGGGAATGAGATGCAATTGTTTGAAAAAATCCCAGTTATAATTTTAAGGAAAAGTTTTATTATTAAGAATCAGTGGAAGATATTTGATCCTGGACAGAACAGAGATAATAACTGCAGTGGTTTACAGTAAATTAGAAGCCATTGTGGACTTTCTGTGAAATACGGGTAATCCTCGAGTTACGAATGTAATGGAGACTGCTAATTACATTCATAACCTGAGAATTCATTGGAGTGAATCACATTAAATGAACATGAAAACTCCCTGCATTCACCCATGCATTTGCAAATCGAATGTACAGGTCATTAAGTGGATGAGGTATCTCAGGGTAGGAAAGAGCATGGGGAGGGGGCCTAGTGCTTCTGACCACCCAAAGCCTCCCCCAACCCACTGAGATATTTCATACTTTTCTCCCATCTCCAATCTTCCCCAACCAGATCCACTTATCTTTTGAAGATGTTGATGAGCTGTCTCCTCTCCATTCTCTTTGCGGCAGTTTTGCTTTGAGCAAAGGCTTGCCAAAGTCTAGAGGGAAATTGCATCCCTCTAGGCTCCAATTATCTTTACAAAAAGCCCTTGCTACTGAAAACGTAGCTGTGCCAAAAATGGAGCTGCTGCCACGTCCCTCCTGGGCTTTGTTTTCAGTGCAGTTCTGTTTTCAGTGGCAAGACTGATCGGAGCCTAGAGGGACGCAATCTGTCACCCCTGAAGACTTCTCCAAGGAAACGGCAAATGGAGAGAAGGCCTGAAGAACTGAAGCCATCCCTCCACTTGCAAAGCCTTTTGCCATAGCTCTTGTCCAGGCCTCAATTCACAGAGAATAGAGACCTAACGTAATGCGAGATCATGTGAGATCAGTACCGCGACATCTTGTGCTACTGATCTCGCAGTACTTTAGGCCTCTGTTCTCTGCGAATGTACTGAAGGCCTGCACTCAAAGAAACTGAAGACTCACTAGATCTTCGCAAGGTAAGTGAGTCTCCAAAGGCCCAGTGCCTGTGAAGACTTGGCGGGATGGGGGGAGAATAGGCAGGGCGAATGTTGCAGAGCCTCCACGGTCATTCGTAAGGGTGAATGACTGCCATGGTGCTGCAACATTCATAACTTTGGGACTGTGTCATAAGTACTTGGTGGGGGATTTATGTCGTAACTTTGAATGGTTGCTAAGTGAGCTGTCATAACTCGAGGATTACCTGTACAATGATAGATTGTTAACAGAGAGCTTTGAAGAGTAATTTGTTCGGTTTACCTGCTGGGTACTTTTTTACAGTAGATAGATGGTAGGTCAAATAGAAATGTAGAATTTTATAAATTGTAGACTTGTTTTGCAAGGGGGAATTATTGTTATTGTTGAAATATATTTATCAGTATTCAGCTGGGGGGAGGCAATTTATATGTTTGTTTGGTTTTTTTTTTTAAATGAACACTTTTTAATCTTGCCTAGTTTTTGCTTTGTTTACTGTTGTTTTTCTTTTTTTTGTTGAGGTTTACATTTTAACCTTGTTAAAAGAAGAAAAAGAAAAAAATATCAAGAAATTGCAGGACCCAAAACAAATAATCAAGACTTACTGAAGACAAGGAGGGGAAATAAAGCAATAAACTAAGACAAGGAAGAAATAAAAGAATAAAGCAATAGAGGAGAGCATCTCTCATAAATCTAGAGGTGGGGCAGTTTTGGAATGCCAGATGCCAAAGAAAAACATCTCCCATTGGCACCTTGATTGATGCATCTATGAAAATTGTTCTAATAAGATAACAATCTATGGCCTAGTATTTGGTTTAGCCAATTCCATTCATTTAAGGACTACTTTTTCTACACACTCTACACAGCAGACTAGATCTTATATAATACAGTGATTTCAGATTAATCACCTTGGGGATAAAGAAGCCTTGGAAAGTTATGTCCATGGTGGTTGCATGTGGCAAATTGGAGGGAACAATATTAGCAAATCTTTGAAGCTCATGAATTACAGCATCGGTGTAAGGCATTTTGGCTCGATGGCCAGTCCTTGGTTGGATATCACCAATTTCTCTTGCAATTTCTTCTTGGATCTTATCTGGGAAAACAAAATGATATTATGTATCAAGATTATTCATTTTTTTAAAATTTTGTTTTAAATGGAAGTTAATGCATAAATTCTAAATATCTGAATAATACAATAGTAACTGATTGTGATCCTTGGATGACGGCCCTTCAGATGGTCACTCATACATTATTCACTTTACAAATGGACTGCTGTAATCTACTTTACCTCTAGAAGTCTTGCAGACTCTTCACAGATTATATCCAGCCCAGTTTGTGGCACAGTAGATAGTGATTTGCATGTCTCATTATGCCCCTGTGAGCCCATTGGACTACTTTTAATAGGCTTCTGAGTGCAGTTTGAATGCTGGTGAGATTGGGCAAGTGGGCACACTTTGGGTCCAACAATTAAAGGCATCTAATGGTACTCCAGGACGTGTGGCTTCTCGGAACTGATACCACCCGGAGATCCAAATTGCTGGCACTCTGATGAAATGCAGAAAACTATTGAAGACCTGACTATTCCCCTGGAGTTTGTGATAGATTGAGGATGGAGCCCTGCTTAGATGGGTTTTGGTTTTTCTAGATCTTCAGGCCGTTTATGAATCTTTTTTTTGGGGGGGGGGGGATACTGTTATTTTTAAACTGTAGGCAACTCAGAACCACCAGGAGTCATGTGGTCTCCAAATTGCTGAATAAAAACAAAATAAAAAATATATCTTTGAAGAACTGGTGCTAAACCATGAAGGAATTTTGTCAGATATTAAAGGAACCAAGCAAATTCATATAGGAGGAACTATCAGAAGGATACAGAGAACAAATTCATATATGAGGGAAATATTACAAAGATGCAGAAAATATCATTAGTGGTAATTTTAAAAGTCATATTTTCTGTGGAGTTCAAAATTTGCACAGGTACATCCAAACATATTTCACCTGCACTATTAGGAAATCTGTTTGTGCTTGATATTTCATGATATTAATCTGTGATCTCCTATGTTCGCACTTTTCCACTTCTTTCTCCTTTTAAGAATATTTCCATTTAGAGAAGAGATTTTCCTCCATTTATTTTCTCCATTTATTTTGTTCTTAGTATTTAATTCCTTCAAAATTCTGTATATTCTTCAATTATTACATTCTGTTAATTACAAATGTAACTATTCCTTTACTCTTTTGCTGTCATCATTCTTCTTTCATTCTGTTTTCTGATGTGATGTCATAAGGTTCCCTGTTATTTTGCATTTCCAAAATGATTTTGTTTGACATATTTTAAACTTCTTTTTGAAATTATGTGCCCATATTACAGGGGAAACCTGTGAGTTTGCATACAGATGGGAGGTTGAACGACTGGCAACTGTGGTGCAGCCAGAAAATCTGGAGCTGAACACATTTAAAACTGTACAGATGAAAGTGGATTTTAGAAGGGGCCCCTCTATTCTACCACTTCTGATTATATTTGACAGCACAGTATCAGCAGTAGAATCCTTCACGTTTCTGGGTTCTAGAATCTCCCAGGATTTGAAATGGGCACCTAACATTAAAACTATCATTAAAAAGATGCAACAAAGGGTGTTCTTCCTGCATCAATTCGGGAAGTTCAGATTGCTCCAGGAGCTGTTGATACAGTTTTACAGAGAAATTATTGAGTCTGTCATCTGTACTTCGATTACTGTCTGGTTTGGTACGGCAACTAAACAGGAGAGGTACAGACTTCAACGGATAGTTAGTAATGTAGAAAAAATAACTGCTACCAGCCTGCCTTCCACTGAGGACTTGGATACTTCATAAGCCAGAAAGAGGGCTGAGAAAATACCTACAGACCTCTCACATCCTGGACATAAACTGTTTCAACTCCTCCCCTCAAAACGCCACTATAGGGCATTGCGTGCCAAAACAACTAGACACAGGGACAGTTTTTTCCTCCCATGCCAACATTCTGCTGAACACCTAATTACCATAGTACTGTCTTATGTATAAGGATATTTACCCATGTAGTAAGGCTGTATTATTATTATCCTTCTCATCTTTTCTACTACCTACTCCATTGATATCTTATGGTTATTATTACTTGTAATTTTTTTGTACACTTGTTGTCTGTATGTATACTGAGATCTTATGCACTAGAGTCAAATTCATTGTGTTTCCTATCACACTTGGCTAATAAAGTATTCTATTCTATTTGAAAGACAACTTAATTCTTGGCTCATCTCTTTCCCTTCATTCAAGAAGTTTTCCAGATGGCAACAATTCTTTTTTCAGTGATTTTATAGCTTTATTGCAAGCCAATATTATGAAAGTGCTTACTCTGAATTTCTGGGTACTTCATCATTAGGAGTATGGCCCAGCGCAGAGTGTTTCCCGTTGTGTCTGTACCAGCACCAAATAAGTCAGCTACAAGACCTATAAGGTTTTCATTATGAAAATATCCATCATTTGCCATCTTCATATTCTCCTGAATGTATAAAGAAAATACTAGTAAGGAAACTCAATTTCATACACATAACCAATATTCCTGAAATCTAAGAGGACACTTCATATGTGGGTAATAGCCTCATCGAGAGGTTATAGTTGCCCCAACGCTATTGGATTTCTAAAAGGAAAACTCTAAAATCAAACAGTTATACAGAAAGAGAAAAGATTGGCACAAAGGGATCACCCACTCCTATCCCCACTTGGACCTATTCCTCCAGAAAGGAATAAATATTTATGACATATTTAATGGAGAGAGAAATCAATCTGGGTGTAGTCACTGTAGATTTTGAAATAAAGTAATGAAGAGGGAATGATTAAAATTGCTTTGGAAATTTATTTTGTTCTATATTTCTGAAATAAAGATCTTAACCAACCTGCAGGTAGTATAAGTGGAGGTGCATTTTTAAAATATTTTTTAAAAAATCAGTAATAACAGACATGGGTAAAATAATCCATTACCTGTCTTTGCCGAACAAGAAATGATTCAATAAAATTCCTCTGGTCATTTTCATCAAGATCTTGGAGATATTCTATGAAAGTGGTCTGTATGAAATCATGGAACTCCTTTTGACTCTTCATTATTATTTTATGGGCACCCAAAAGAAACCCCAACTTGGGAAACAAATTATATAGCTGAAAGAATGATAAAGGAAAACTTATATTATAGAAGTAAATACTTTGAATTTTTCAGGTGGACATAGCAAACATTTTTATCAAAACAATGTTCCCCAAGTCCACAAAAAAATAAACCAAAATAATGAGGAAAATCTGGGTAGATGATCTCTCTTGCTTCATCCTCCTTTTCTCCAGAGCCTTTTTCTTCTTCCCCTCCTCTATATAAGCTGCTTTATATAAAAAGGGTGCTCGTGTATGTAGTGCTTTATATAAAGGAGTGCTGGTATATTTAGATGACATTTTAATTTGTACTAGATTTTTTATTTGGATACTCGAGTTGGAAGTTGACAGTAAAGGTAGGATTGAATCCTGATATCATCATGTTCATTGTCTTTGGATGCAATCTTGCTACAAATACCCATTAGAAGCAACATGCTTTGCTTCTCAATAAAGCTTGAATGACAAACATTCTGGTGCCTGTTTTTCATGGCATTTTTTTTCAAATAAGAAATCAGATTACCAATACAGCAGGGCTTCCTACAAGCTGAATATTTTCCCCGATTATCTTCAGTAGTCTTAGAAATGTGGCATCTTCATATTCATAGCGTTTCCCAAGTAGAATAGAAACAATGATGTTGGAAACAGCAGCAGTCAAAATTCTTTTGACGTCAAAGGGTTTTCCTGACAAATAGGTCAAAAAGAATTGTGAATGAAACCAGGATTAAATCTGCTTTCTACTGAATTTATACTCCAAAGCAGCTTACACAAAGGGAGCATTTCTCATAGAAAGCTATAGCTAGAGCTGATGACATTGGAAGTGTTTAAATTAAAAATATGAAAAAGTATTTCAATGGTAATTCATTGAATTCATTCAGAATTGCAATATTTGACCATACATCAGTGATATTTTCTTTGCAACAGTGGAACTCCCTGAGAATAAAATATTTGGCAAAGTTATTACAATGCCTGCTCATTAAATGATTGCAGTTTTAAAGACCAAATGCCTTGACCAAAAGCAGGGAGGTGCAAGAATTCCAGTTTACAATATATTTTCATTCTTAGATGAAGAACTTGTAACCCACTCTAAACAGAGGATTTAGAGGAGTCTCTAAAGAAGAATAAGTCTAGAAGTGATTGATGAGAGACTGTCGTGTTACACTGAATTAACAATTCAAATCCTTTGGAACCATTCTGCCATCCATAAGTCACATTCCTGTAAATATACTTAAGATAAATTGGACAAGGAAGCATACTTATAGGGAGAAAACAATGGGTTTAAGAATTGTTGGAGAGAAGGTATTTCCCAACACAGTCCTTGTCCATTTGATATAATCTGCAGAAACTATTTCCCGTTCTACATTTATCCCAGAAGATGCTCCATTATAGCATATCAGCCCACCTGCATAAGTCTCCATTGTCTTCGTTAAGACACTACACTCTTCTGTGATTTTGTCTTCAATGGTCCTCTTGCCCATTCCGTAGCCCCGTAATGTGGATAATGTAAACCGTCGCATCACTTTCCAGTGCTCACCACGAGCAAAAACAAGACCTGAATAGAAAATGGGTAAGATAATGAAATATAATTTTACCATCCTTTGCAGCTCATTCTTGTTTTACAACTTCATTAAAACATGCTCCATCAATTTGATCATCCAGTCTATCCAAGAACTTTCATCCAGTCTATCCAAGAACTTGTCTGAAAGGTATTTCAAAGTTTATGCTAAAGATTTCTCATCCATTTTCTTTATCCTCTGCTTTTGGTATTCAGCCTTCAGCATCTCCTTATCAAAACAAAACAAATAAAACAAAGCAAAAATGAAAGCAATCATTATTTTTCCATGTGCAAATATCTTCTAAATGATTCAAAACTGTAATTCCAACTCCTCTGGTCTCTTAACCCATTTTTACTTTTCAAAAATTCATATATCAAACATCTTTCTGCTGCAAAATCTAAAAATCATATATTTTTAAAACTTGTAAAATCAAATTTACAGTATTTTTTTAAGGATGCAGAAATTCACCAATGAGTACTAGCTGGTCGAAAGGGTCTTAATTTCTGAGAGACACTGGCAAAAACATTGCACAAAGAAAAGGTTTGCATAACCATGTACAGTATATGAGGAGAGAGAAATGCAGAAATTCCTCCTACTAGAATTCCTCAAACACCCACCCCTCCACCCCCAAATTTGCAAATATGCAGAATCGGACATGGTGGACTCAACTTTTTATTCTCCAGTTACCTCCATTGGCACTGAGGGACAAAGTCACAATGGCACAATAAAGGTTTTAGCTGGATTTTCATCCTGGTTGGATTTGCAGAAACCCTCTCACTCATCTGAGGTTCTTCTGGCTGTTAACCTCAAATGAAAAGTTCTACATTATACTGATCATACATCTGAAAGTTTGTCAACTACAATCCAGAACGAAATAACTCACCAAACCCTTTTGTTGCATCTTCAAAAATGGGAACAAAGGGCCTATCTACAAATGCATCAGCCTGGTTCACAAGAGCTTCTTTGACCGTCTCATAGCCAGTCAGCACCACCATCTCCTGGAATCCCAGTTTGATGCGGAAAATGGGACCATATTCTTTTGACCACTGGAATTCAGCAGAAGGGAAACAAAGAGACAATTTTAATCAATAATTAGAATCACATATGTAGATGTTTAAGAAACTACATGTCAAAATTCAAAAGGCACATATAATGTCATTTCCCTTTTTTCTTCTATTGACAATTGTGATGGCATATTATTCTTTATAATTTTTAATTTTCTTATGATTTATATTTAACATAAATGCTTATATAATAAAAAATCCTCACAAAACAGAAATGCTTGTCAAGCTAAGAAACGGTCTCTGATATGTTGAAACAGGGTCATTTGTGCAGGACATACTGTGAATCATAGAATTTTAGGGCTGGAAGGGACCTTGGAGGTCTTCTATTCCAACCCTCTTCTCAAAGCAGGAGCCTTATACCATCCCAGTCAAATTGTTGTCCGGTATATTTTTGAAAGCCTCCAGTGATGGAGTAGCCACAATTCCAAGAGGCAAGCTATTTCATTGATTAATTGTTCTCACTGTCAGAAAATTTGTCCTAACTTCTAGATTGTATCTCTCTTTAACAAGTTTCCACTCCTTACTTCTCGTTCTACCCTTAATTTTGGTTGTGTATTGATCACTTCAGAAATTGATTTATTGATTTATAATTCTGCTTAAAATGTGCAAACAAAAATGTGCTTCTAAGTACATATCCAGTCATTCAGCTTAAGAGCATTTATATTTCCCCAAAGGCTCCTTGGGGTTTGAACATTTCTGCAAATCTAAATAAAGAATAAGAAAATTGTTTATTCAATTAGAACATTTTAGATTGATTAACAAAAAGATTTTCTTGAAATAATCCTTCCAGAATATTTAAATGTATTCAGATACCAGATACATATTTCCATATACAGTAAATACCATCTGGAAGCAGATCAGACTTACCCGACCAAGTTACCAGGATTTTGTCCCATCCCAAACAAGTTTTGGCAAAGAATGGTAAAGATGGTTGTTAATCACCAGGCTTTACCTCTATCATTGTTCTGTGAGGCCTCTTCAGATCCATCATGTGCAGATTTCCCAAAATAGGTATGGTCCTGGGTCCCGGAGGGAGATTGGGGGAGCTGTTATTCCAGGAACTGCCCTTTTTCAAAAGGAACATAATTGCAAGAAGAAATATTAATAATATTAAAATTGTTCCAGTCCAATCCATTTTCTTTTAGTAAGCAGTTTTCAGTAAAAATTGTAAGGAATTTTGAAAACTGAAATGATTCCAGCATGTATTTCAAAGCAAGGTATTAAGCAGAGCCCAGCTTCTCTTTCTACTGAATCTTCAAACTGCTCTGTTAAAGGACTTCTGAACTTTACTCTTGTTTTTTTCCAACAGGAATTTGATCTGTCCTTGCATGTGTTACAGAAATAGCGAAATCTTTAAAAACTTACCAAACCAGTTTCATTCACCTTTAATCTTTTTCTTAGCTTCATTGTGCTTGATGTTGTCAGCTTGAAAGATACCTAGATACTTGTAATAATCATCTTCATCCAGAGTCTTAATGTTATTTTCATGGGGCATCTTGATTCCTTCAGTTGTTTGATAGTGAGTGTGGCACATTTGTCCAATCCAAACTCCATTGCAATATCTTGGCTATATATACAGACAGTATGGAGCAGCGATTCTATTTCAGATGGTGTTTTTCCATATAGCTTCAGATCGTCCATGTAAAGGAGGTGGATAGTCTGGCAGATGTTTTTGATAGCCATGCCCCGAGTTATTGAGTATTGTTGACTGAGGAAACAGTGCAATGACAAATAGTAGTGGTGATAGAGAATCTCCTTGAACTATTCCTCTTTTGATATTAACCTCTCCCAGTTTCTCACCATTGACCTGCAACTGTGTCTTCCATTGTCCCATCGATCTTTGCACAAACTTTCTGATGTTTCTACTGACTCCTGTTATTTCTAGGCATTTGATTATCCAGTCATGGGGCAGAGAGTAGAATGCCTTTTTGTAGTCAATCCACGCTACATTTAGGTTGGTCTTCTTTGTTTTGCAGTTTTCCAAAATCATTTTGTCAATTAGAAGTTGATCTTTTGTTCCTCTGCTATTGGGACAGTTTCCTTTCTGCTCAAGTAGAAGGAGATTGTTTTCAACTAAATGCTCTTGGACTGCATCAGCTACCACACCAGTTAGCAATTTGAAGGTTGTTGGTAAGCAAGTAATTGGCCTGTAGTTCCTTGGTGTTGCCCCTTTTGCTGAATCTTTCATTATCAGATACTTTTTTCCAGATGTTAGCCACTCTTCAATTTCAGTTCCTTGTAGTATGTTGTTGAACTGCTTGGCAACGAGTGGGTATAGACCAGTTAGATGTTTCAATCAAAAACCATGCAGTTCATCTTCACCTGGTGCTGACCAATTCTTGATCTTCCTTGTTATTTCTCTACCATTTCTGCTGTTATTACTAGTTCTTTCATTTCAACTTCTTTTTTATTCTTATTCTCTTCTTTTAACCATGCTGCCTCCTTGTTGTATTTCTTTGGATTATCCCATATCTACATCCAGAACTGCACTCTTTCTTCCTGCACTGATTGATTCACTGCAGTTTCTCCATTGATGGATTGATAGAAACATTTCTGATTGGATTGAAATTGGAAGTTCTGCCTATAATTTGCAATTCGAGCTTTGTATCTGCTGATCTTCTTGGCTATAGCTGTTATTTGCTGTTTTATTATTTCCAGTGCTTCCTTGATTTTCCTAATTTCTAAGTGGCATTTCTTGATTAGTTATTCTTTGGTCTTCTTATTCTTCAGCTTCTTTTCTTTCATCTATTCTAGCTTGCTTGAGTCTGATCTGAACTTGCTGATCTTATTTTCCAATCTAATCTTTCATTTTGAGGTGCTTTTTGGCTTTTCTTCTTCTTTGTTGATTTTGCATCCCAAGTAATCAGTTATAACTGCAGCTATGCTGTACATTAGTTGATTTGTTTCTTGCAATGAGTTGGTGCTTATACTTGATATTGCAGTATTTGCATCTTTTAATGCTTGTACTAGATGTTTCTTTGGAATAAGCTTCAGTGCAGGCAGCCTTATTCTGATGTTTTTGTGCTGTTCTAGGTGCTCAGTTATTCTTTGTTTCAATTCTTTTTTAATTAGAGGCAGAGAAGAGGATGTCTGGTTTCCAAATGAAAACAGTTTTATATCTCTGTTGGATTCCTCTACTGCCAACTCCCCCTGGTTTGTTCTACATTCTGAATTACTTCTGGCAAGGCTTTGATTTCTTTGACCTGGGTAAACCTTTGCAGTTCTTCCAATTCTGCTTCTGTGAATACTTTATTTCATATTATAAATCGACATTGATCTACTAACCTCTGTTCTGTTATTTCTGATTCTAGATTTTATTTCCAGAACTGGTCCATTCCTCTCAATTATCCTCTTCTTTTTGGACTTGAACTGTAATAACAGACCATTATTTCTTTTTTTTTCCTGATCACTGTGTATTTGCCACTGGTAAACACCTTTTCTTCTAGTAGTTCTGCAGCTTCTGGTCCTGTTTACTCAGCCAACAGTCTTGAGAGTCCTGTAGCCCATTTTTCACCAGATATCCAGGAATTCCAACATCTAGTGCAGACCTTATTAACCGAGGTGACATCTGAGCTGGCAGGCTTTCTGAAACTTATGTCTCACCATATATTTTTTTATGGGAGAGACACTCATTTTCTGACTCCTCTGATGAGACCTGTCCAGTATGGTTGAACCTCTGGCATAGCTCTCATCTTCCTCAGAGCACACAAGCCCCACAACCATGTCTCACGGGGGATGAATATGATTAGATTAGATTAGATTAGATTAGATTAGATTAACTTTATTGTCATTGTTTTTCTGTGGGCACAAAAGCACACATTAAAAATGAAATTTAGTTGCTTGCTCTCAAAGTATACACATACATAACACACATTTAAACATACTATATATAACATATGTATAGACATACACCCTTATATATAAATACATATAAATATTAATCACTGTCCATCTTGAATACAGAGTGGCGAGAGAAAGCTTGAGAGTTCACAAGGTTAATACTGTATGGCACAAAACTGTGACTGAATCTGGATGTTCTGCTTCGGATACCACGGAGCCTCCTCCCAGAAGGTAACAAGGAAAACAGGTTGTGAAAAGGATGTGTAGTGTCCCAAACAATCTTACAGAACCTGCTCAAACAATTGTTGTTGTTGTTGTAGTTGTTGTAGTTGTTGTAGTTGTTGTAGTTGTTGTAGTTGTTGTTGTTGTTGTTGTTCTTCTTCTTCTTCTTCTTCTTCTTCTTCTTATTATTATTATTATTATTATTATTATTATTACTTCTATTAGTACAATTCAATGAATAACTTGCTGAAACCAAGTAATTGTAACTATATTCATGGACTGGTGATTGATTTTGTAGGGTTTTTTTGGTTAAAAAATAAGTTAGAGCATTTTTAAGAGTGCCTTCATGTTCTCAACTAATAATTTGGACCCACATTTTGGTAAAGATTGACTTCATACAGTATATATAATGGCTGAAGAACCTTGAAATGGTGATAACAACTTAGTAATGACATAAATAATGCTTTCTGTGAATAGAATAGAATAGAATAGAATAGAATAGAATAGAATAGAATAGAATAGAATAGTTGGAAGGGACCTTGGAGATCTTCTAGTCTAACCTCCTGCTCAGGCAGAAACCCTATACCATTTCAGACAAATGATTGTCCAATCTCTTCTTAAAAACTTCCAGTGTTGGAGCATTCACAACTTCTGGAGGCAAGTTGTTCCACTGGTTAATTGTTCTAACTGTCAGGAAGTTTCTCCTTAGTTCTAGGTTGCTTCTTTTCTTGATTAGTTTCCATCCATTGCTTCTTGTCTTGCCTTCAGGTGCTTTGGAGAATAGCCTGACTCCCTTTCTTTGTGGCATCCCCTAAGATATTGGAGGACTGCTATCATGTCATCCCTTGTCCTTCTCTTCATTAAACTAGACATACCCAATTCCAGCAACTGTTATTTATATGTTTTAGTCACCAGTCCCCTAATAATCTTTGTTGCTCTTCTCTGTATTCTTTCTAGAGTCTCAACATCTTTTTACATCATGGTGACCAAAACTGGATGCAGTATTCCAAGTGTGGCCTTACCAAGACACTATAAAGTGGTATTAACATTTCACTTGATCTTGATTCTATCTCTCTGTTAATGCAGCCTAGAACTTTGTTGGCTTTTTTGGCAGCTGCAGTACACTGCTAACTCATATTTAAGTCACTGTCCACTAGGACTATATACTTATATTATATGATTGCCACAATGTCTTCCAAACTCTTGGATATCTGTGCTATGACTGGTATTAATGTCTGAAGTTCATAATTGTTTCCCTAAACTGCTAGAGAAGGTTAGTCCAATTCATTTCATTTCTTTTTAATAAGCAGTAATAATTACAATGATTTCTACACACTGAAATGATACAAGCATGTATTTCAAAGCACTGCATTAGGCTTCGCCCATCTACTCTTTCTACTGAATCATCAGACTGTTTATATAAGAGAGAACCTCAAATCTTTGTGCTAGCATTCTCTCTCTCTCCTCCCCAGAAGTTTTATCTGAACTTGCCCAACACTATGTATCGGTGGGATTTACAAAACTTTTGCAAACAAGTTTAAACTTATTTGAGCTGTGCAACAATTCAAAAACACTGGATTTTAGGACAGATGTTAATATTTTTAGAGCCTTTGTGGTAAATCAAATCAAGTTAAATATTTATTATAATCAAAGACCAGCACAATTAAAAATCCTCAAAGAGTATTTAGCCAAAGGTTTTCTATGAGTATTTGAGGGGCTGCCACAAAGAAGAGGGGGTCAACTTATTTTCCAAAGCACCAGAGGGCAGGACAAGAAATTACAGATGGAAACTAATCAAGGAGAGAAGCAACCTGGAATTAAGGAGAAACTTCCTAACAGTGAGGACAATTAACCAGTGGAACAGCTTGCCTTCAGAAGTTGTAGGTGCTTCATCACTGGAGGTTTTTAAGAAAAGACTGGACAGCCACTTGTCTGAAATGGTATAGGGTCTCCTGCTTTAGCAAGGGGTTGGACTAGAAGACCTTCAAAGTCCCTTCCAATTCTGATTGATTGAACTGTGCAACAATTCAAAAATACAAGATTTTAGGACATATGTTAATATTTTTGGGAGCCCTCAAGGCAAATGTTTCACTATTCAGTTAAGGAATTCAGCAAATGGAATCAAACAACTCATATTTCTGAACTCCAGATCACATAG